TTGCTGTTTGATTTTTTTCGCCTTTCGCCATATAGATCCAGTAGGGGCAGAATCACCAGAGATGATAAGCATATCACACAAGCACGTGAATTATCACATGATAGCTAGATCAAAGATCAAATAAATGCCTTCCAAAGTACAACGTGCCAAGAAGGTTCTTAAAACCCTGTCTCAACCCAGCTCCAGCTCCACTAGCATTGTCAATTCGCAGTCTATTCTATCTGAGTCAGCGAATTTCGAAAATATGTCGGCAATGGAGCTTATAAAAAATATTATGGAGCTTAATAGAGACCCAGCCATTGAGAACATGCTCATCGCCCTTGCAGAGAAAATACCTAAGGAGTTTACGGATTTCCTTGAGAGCGATAAGCGTGAACGCAGTATAGTAATTGCGGGTATTGAGGAAGCACACAGCTCGCTCCGCCCTTCCCAACGTCAAGCGGATCTCGAGGATAAGGTAAGCAAGGTGCTCGATGCTCTGAGCGTGGAATGCCGTCCTTCGGAAATCTACCGCATGGGCAAGCCAGATGCGGGTCGTCCACGGCTGGTCAAGGTACTTCTGCCCTCGAAAATTCCACTGGCGTCGTGCTCTTGCGAACGCGCGCCTTCTCCGTAACGCTGGCCTGCCTAATATATTTATACGTAAAAGCATGACTTCGGAGGAACGAAAACGTGAATACGAGCTGCGACAGGAGGCACGCGAACGAAACAAGGGCAAAGCGAGCCGGGAATGGGTAGTCCACCAAGGACAACTGAAACATACTTCGGAACTGCAGCATAAACGCTCGGGAAACGCTTGAAGTGCGCATGGTGGTTCTGTCCTTATTTGCTGTTTGCTTAATGCTCGTAGTTTGCCGAATAAGTTAGAACATTTACGTGCCTACATTTCGCAGTATGAGCCTGATCTCTGTTTATTACAGAGACATGGCTTACGGACAATATCCTCGATTCTGAAATATTGTTTAATTTGCCGTATTTACTATTCCGCCAAGATCGAAAGGAGCGTCGCGGTGACGGATTATGTCGTCTTGCAACTCCTGTGTTTACCGATTTGTTAAGTCAACCCAATCAAAGCCGACGTTCTCTGCCTGGAAATTTTCAGTCCTCCTAAGGCCACTCATTTCCGGTTCACCGTAGTGTATCGTCCCCCGAACTCTACAAGGCGTGAAGACGATGGTCTTGTTGATGTTCTTCGTGAGATGGTTTCCGCTCAGGTCAACTCTATAATTGTGGGCGATTTAAATCTACAGGTTGACTGGAAAAACCTACGTGCAGATAACGCTTCCTCAGCTGCCTTTCTGGATTTCTTCCAAGAAAGTGGTCTCGAACAACACGTCCTCCAACCAACGCATGGCAGCAACACCCTTGACTTGGTATTGTCCACTTCGCACAGCATACAAAACGTGTCACTTCTTCCTCCTCTTGCAATTCCGACCATGCCTCCGTTCGCTTCGAGTTACTGGAGGGTTCAGTGACTCCTCCCTACTCCTGATTTTCTAAAAGTGAACTATGACCGCCTAAATGAGTATCTTTCGAAGCTGATTGGCTCGGTCTATTCAACAACTACGTTTCCATGGACGACATTTATCGGAGATTCTGCAAGACCGTCTACAAGGCGTTGACCTTATTCGTTCCACTGAAGTTTCCTCAGCGTCGCCCTATCAAGTATCCATTGCACATCAGGAATTTGTTGGCTCAGAAAGAACGCTTATTTCGGATCCTGGATAATCCCATGAGTTGCCCGCTATACAGGAAAGTTTGTAGGGATGTGGATTACCACTTAAAGAAGTTCGTATCCAATCTTGAACGCCATCTCGGTAACCAAGCTTCCTTGAAGCGTTTGCATCAGTACGTTCGCTGCAAGTTCAAATCCAAGACACCCCTTCCCACACTGAAGGAGCGAAGGCTCAAGCACCAGGTAAATATTTCGCCAGTGTTTTCTCAGCTCCAGTTTCTTCTACAGGAGTCCTGGAGTACGGTGCGGCTAGTTCTCAAAGCGGGGACTTTGATATTTATTTCCACCCCAGAGATGTCTAGACAGTTCTTAAGCCTTCCCTCAGTGAGCCTTTTGATGGCATTCCAAAAATAATTCAGGAACTGCTGTGGTTCTCTTTGCAAACCCTTAGCCCACATGTTCAACATCTCTTTCCTTTTAGGTCAGGTTCCCAAAATTTGGAAAGAATCCATCATAACGGCTATCCCCAAACATCCCGAAGCTACAGCAGTTAGCGACCATAGGCCCATCAGCCTCACTTCCACACCTGTCAAGGTGATGGAGAAGATGATTTTCGTTAAACTGTTGGCATGGTTCAATCGCATCAACCTCATCCCTGCCGAACATCACGGTTTTCTTCCTGGGGTTTCGACATGTACAAACCTTCTTGACACGATGTACGACATTTGTAAATCTATCAACCATGGAAAATCGGTGGATGTAATTCACCTCGATTTGACCAAGGCGTTTGACAAGGTCTGTCACCTAAAACTTGTTCGCAAACTCGAATTCTACGGTGTCCATGGTAGGCTTCTAGGCTGATTAACGTGTACAGAGCTTCTTGACACAATGTACGACATTTGTAAATCTACAGGAGAGGAGTATGACATTCGGGTAGGGACCAGTTTTTCGAGCAGGTATCCCTGCACCAGTGGGGTTCCTCAAGGTGGAGTGTTATCCCCTTTACTATTTCTGATATATACCGTGGAGTTGCCTCAACTTCTGAAAACATGTCCCGACATCCGAGTACAGATTTACGCGGATGACATTAAGGTGTATTGCGCATATGAACGCTGGACGATAAGGATGTGATGCATCAAGCGCTTAACTGTCAGTTGAACGAATGTGTGAGTGGTCAACATCCTGGGGTATACCACTGAACCTAAGAAAATGCTTGGTTATGCATTTTGGAGATGACGTAACAGTCGATTATGTAGTAAACGGTATAACACTCCCCACCTGTGACTCAAAGAAAGACCTTGGAGTCATTTTCGACTCGAATTTGAAATTCTCCAGTCATATTGATTGCATTATCAAAAAAGCGTACTCTGCTCTGTTTGTTATAATGAGAAATATTCGAAGTTCAGACCCGACTACCCTATTGCGGCTTTACAAAGCGTATGTCCGACCACACCTTGAGTATTGCTCACAAGTATGGAGCCCATCTTTGAGGAAGGACGTATTGAAGATTGAGAAAGTCCAACATGTATTCACTCGTCTACTTTGGTTTAGGTCCACAAACTGTACTGGTCGGTACGATATCCCTCCCTACAGGGTTCGACTGAGGGCGTTTTCCTTGCATACGTTGCAGTATAGACGGATTTTATCTGATTTGGTGTTTTGCTTCCGTATTATTCGGAAGGAGGTCAAGCTAAGGGCTAGTAAGTACTGGAGCTTCAGTCCAACCACTGAAAGGCTGGGTGGGTTGAATCTTCACTATGACCACATCTACCCAAAGAACTATTCATTAATGTTCAATATAGTGTTTAATCGTTGCGCAAGATGGTTCGAGCTGCTACCGCCTTACGTTCTTCAAGCAAATAATAGTAAGTCGTTCAAGAGCAGGCTGAGTGAGCTTGACCTCTTGCGCATCTTAAGAATACCTGACTCAGGTTTAACCTCGGTTACTTTCTCGTCTTTCTTTCTCGTGTTTCAGTCTCAACGCTGGGTGTCTGGTCAATGTCTTCTAGTGCGTGGTTGGTTCGTTCACAACCGGTGGTCTATCTTGCAAGATGATAAGAAACTGTTGCGTTAGCTGGACAAACTTTGTATTCAGGGAGTGACTGAATACTCCCGTCTATTATTTGCTATTTCATGATTGAGATCAGGTCACGTACTTCGGCAATATGTTCTTAGGCACCTTCTCTTGCTAATACCATTTGGTAATAGGAGGCTGTAGGCTGGTTAATTAAAAGTATGCTTTGGTGAACGGCCGCGGGCTCGAACTGTGTTACCAGTTGTTTGATGAGCCGGAGGGGTGATGAACCCCTCGCTTGAGGTCCCCCTTGGTTTGTTCGCCTGGGGTCCCGGACGAATTCGTTCGTAACGGGTTAAGTTGTCAGCAAGCCCCAGTACTGTCGTCAAAATCCTTGCGTTCAGAACCAAGGACCAGGATCTCGCGGGGGACTCTTTCATCTGCCTGAAGGGGAAAACAGCCTTACACTACACACAGGGAAGTTCCGGTGTTTCTGATGCTTATATTGCTTTGCCTAGATTTCTTTTTTTGCTTATTCAAATGTTACTGTGTTCTTTCCTTTTTATAATACCAGTCGGATCGCTCCGGCTGACGCCGAGCTCTCCTCCTTCTCTTTAGCTCGGCTTCGCCGAGCTGGCCTGGCTTCGCCAGGCGCGCATAATTTGAACGCAACTTTCTCCACTATATGTTGTATGGGCTTTATGGCGCGGACCACACCTTGCTGCAAATATAAGCGTATGCTTAGGAATGCAGGATTCGCAACGTTTCTCTATCTGTAATGATTCGATCACTACAGCGCCATATGAGCAGCCCACTGTCGAAAAAGTTGCGTTCAAATTGTGCGCCTGGCGAAGCCAGGCCAGCTCGGCGAAGCCGAGCTAAAGAGAAGGAGGAGAGCTCGGCGTCAGCCGGGCGATCCGACTGGTATACTATATAAGCGGAAGTGGTG